CCCCTTGCGCGGAGCGAGGGTTCTCCACCCCGCACAATATGGTCTACTCGGCCACCATTATGGCTACCGCCAAAAAACAACAGAGGTAAAAAAAAAAGTAACCTGGTTGCCGAGTTCACGAAGTGAATTGGCTTGTTTTGGCTTGTTTTACAACGTCGTTGCCAAGCGACGAAAACCCAACCCCGATGGCAAACACCGGGGGGGAGGGGGGGGGCGGGGGGGGCACAGACCGACAGCATTACCGCAGCTCGTAGAATACGTCAGAAACGAGGATAAGCTACGCACCCCCGCAGAACAAATTGAAGGGAGGCGAGGTACATTCAAACATCAGGGGTCGCCAACGGACACGCTGGGACGAGAAAAGGTGTACACTATAGGGAGCCGCGGGCATAACGGATGCACGACAAGGAACACGCAAGCATCCAACATCGTCGCAGGCAGAGAGAAAGAGGAAGAAAGAGAGGCAGCACGATTATTAGAAAGGACAAGACACATGACACACCTTGTCAACACGGTTTAGGTGTCCGCCAAGGCTTTGCAGCCAGCGTGGTCATCAGGACCATCGCTTTTCTCGCTCCGAGACGAAGAACATCCCCGTCTCCATCTCAAGTTTACCCTCCACCCCCATCCGCCCCTGGGTCACCTCCTCCACCTCCTGCCCCCTCGTCCGCGGACAAGCACGGCTTGAGGTAGCGCTTAGCGTCGTCCTGACGATCAACACACTCGGTGGAGAGGATCGGCCCAACGTATTCCAAGCCGAACCGCATGAAGCTCTCCTAGAACCTGAGACACGAAACAAAGAACAAAGAGCGTTTCATGTGAATATCAGTTTGTTTGACGTCACGGGGTCATACATATCGAGCTTGCGACAAACCATCAGCGCGTCGACTGCCCAGGAGCAACGCCAGGGCACACTGAAAATATGGGAAAATGATTAATAACGCTGGAAACGCGTCAGGAACAAAAACAAACGACAGTGTTGGACGTTCACCAGAGCTTGAACGTCCAATGAGAGCTTGTCGGCCTGACAAATTGCCGACAGTACACCAGGGGAGACAGGGTCGGAAGAATACGCTAAAGACAACCAAAACCCTCAGCCCCACAGAGCTTGGTTCACATATCGAAACAAAAGCAACGTACATGTCGCTTATGGCGTTCAAGTTTTTTTCACCGCCGTCGCCCTTCGCAACAAACGGCTTTTCGGAAAAAGCCTCGCACACGGGGAAGGTACGGCAACACCGTCGTGGTCGGGGTCGCTCTTGTTGCCGAAGTGTAGCCTGGAGTGCCCATCTTCGTCTTGATATCCGTGAGGACGTACTGCTCGAGCACCTTCGAACGATACCAATCCATACCGTGAGGCGGGGGGGGAATGGTGCATAGCGGCCAAGGGGTTGGATAGATGGATGCACCAGAGTAAGGGTGATAGTAGATGGCGTGGAATTTGCGCCGGAAACAGCACGCAGGAGGGCGAACAGGACACCAGCAGCAGCTATTCTCGCTGTAAAGTCGCACGTGGGGATTCAAAAATTCAAGCGTCATTACCACAGGGAAGCGGCGTTAACATTCCAAGGACAAGTACTCTTCGTCCCCGGCGCTGTTGCTTGGCATCATGAGATGTTGGCTAATTGCACCTTTCGCCGCCCTTCTGTCTCGCACTACATTTTAAGTCTAACGCTACAACATGCGAGACCCTCAAACCAACAGCAGTACCGGTGCGCGTGCGTCAAAATTCTCTACTCCTTCCACAAGCAATGCATCGCGAGGAATAGTTGCCTGCACGTCCCCCCGTTCCTTCTCTCTATCGTAGCATACGCTTTGGTTGAGTCTAATAAATGAACGAATGAGCAGCTCCCGAGAAAAGGTATTCCATCGTTCCTTCCGTTCACATTCAAATAGGGGCGAAGCTACTCAAAACGTGCCTGGAGCTATGCCGGAAAGATCGACGATGTTATGCACGACTCTGACAGCAGGTGTGGTAGTAGACCTTCATCGGTTCTCGGTGGACAGAGGTGTCGGGGTCGGGACATAAACTTTCCATCATATTTTGTTTTTCAAATCACTGGGCACCATTTCTGAATAAAATCTCGCATTTTCCGCGGAGAGTTCACTTAACCCGACCGTACCTGAGCTATGGGGTGGTGCGCTTGCATCGGTGGACCTGACCGAAGGTCACGCTCTGCATGGCCTCGTCCTCTGACACGGGAATGCCGTGGTTGGCCGGCCCTTGAACCTTCGAGAACGTGACGGTACCANGGGGGGGAATGGGTGAGACGCAATATATGAAGACGCACATACATATCCCTCCGCTCAGCTATGCATACTACTGGTGCCCTCTTGATGTCGCATCAGTGGCGCGGCATGGCGGGACCCGCTGCGACCGTGTTGTTGTTGTCTTGACATCGAAAGAAAAAACTTTCCGGTCTCTGACATGCCTTGTTTCTCAGGGGTTTACTCGGTATTTGTATTTTACGGCCCATGTGGATGGGGTTCGCTCGATTCTGTCTAGCACACGTGGCCTGTGGTGATATCGTTCACCACAGAAAACGAGTAGCGATATCGTCCGCCACCAAGACGAGGTAGGTATCTTCTTCGGCTGATTTGGCGAGGAATGCCAGGTGACGTCCCTNGCATGGCGGGACCCGCTGCGACCGTGTTGTTGTTGTCTTGACATCGAAAGAAAAAACTTTCCGGTCTCTGACATGCCTTGTTTCTCAGGGGTTTACTCGGTATTTGTATTTTACGGCCCATGTGGATGGGGTTCGCTCGATTCTGTCTAGCACACGTGGCCTGTGGTGATATCGTTCACCACAGAAAACGAGTAGCGATATCGTCCGCCACCAAGACGAGGTAGGTATCTTCTTCGGCTGATTTGGCGAGGAATGCCAGGTGACGTCCCTGTGTAAGGACGAGACCAAGGGTAAGGTTGGAGAGTGGGCGGCGCCTTCGTGGACGCTAGCTTTCCCACCCTCAAGATCCATATTCCGGACTTCGCAGCAACGGAGGATCCCAGTAAAGATTCAGACTCTGGAGCCGTGCTCGACACGAGTCTTGTAAGACCCTACTCTCTTGTGTATGTGTGTGTGCATTTGCATACTGATGCCACCGTATTGGCCTCCACATAGCCCCCCTTTTTCTTACGCCGAAAGTCCATATTTTATCTTGATAAATATGGCTTTTGGCGATCATTCCATCCTTGGAATTATAGAGTGACTCGTGGAATCAGTGTGGTGTATCCTATACAAACACATACACAGCTCTTTCCAGAATGTACTTACTCTCCCTCAGCACTGTCGTGTTGAAAAATACGCTCAGTACAAGTATTGTACACTCTTTCGGAGACTCATATTGATAGACTCATCTAGAGTTGCTGTGTGCAACTCGACTTTACACTATACTTCTACCTGCAAAGCCCTCAGGACCTCTATCCAGCCTGAGTAGATTTGTTGCGTTCAAAATCTCTTGTTTCCAAGTGATTTGCACGGGTTTGGTTCGCGACACCATACCGTTTGGGTGGTTGCAATCGTATTGCGGAGGTTCGTTCGTGAAGGCATACGGCGTACGCAGTTATTTACTGCATCCATGGTTCATCCTCGGGTAACTTCAGTTACGACCCTCTTCGGATCCCTAGAAACTGGACCTGACAATTCCTCACCAGTGTTTGCCCCAAAACACATGCGAGTTGCATCCATATTTGTGGATGCTACTCTTTTACCGTCTGTTCACATTCGAGATGTATTTTATATTCACCTTCGGTCTCCTTGTACTTTTCCGCTGGGTATCAGCTTTTTTCACGCGTACTTCCCGGTTTTCCTCGGTTCGCTTTCCAGTCCGGGATTTGGCCTTGACAAGTTTTTCCTGCTGGCAGCTCTTTTGGGTTTGTCAAGTTCCCGTGTGGTGCCTAGCGCGTTTGCTTTCACTTCCCTGATCCTTGCTGCCGCCTCTTTTGCGCTTCAATCGTTCAATTGGTTGCGGTTGAGGCGATTGTTGTTCAGCAGGCGCGATATCGAGACCATGTTTGGCTCTATATGCGGAAATCATTGCATGAGATTGCGGTGGCTCGTCTGCACGGTATACCAGATCTGACTCTGGATCGTATCCCTGGAGTCGGAGGCGATATTTGTAGTTATGCAGGCTTTTCCGGCCTCGACCAGTTTTGTGATCGACCACTTTGTCAACGGCGTACTCTCAATTCGTGGTTGATTGTCGCCTTTATCCACGGTAGGCAAGGGAATTTGTTTTCCCAAGAAGTACTCAAGCCAGTTTGTCGAACTGCGGTGCTGATGGCTTGTGCCTTTCGTGGTATGATTTTTGATCAGCTAAGTGTACAGATACTTCCCGTGATTCGCTAGCTCTTCTCACTCGATACACAACTGGTGACAGCTGTGAACAAATGACGTATGGCCATCTCCAAGGCAATATTAGCTTTGGATTCGGTCCATCTAATTCATGGTATGGTCTGTACACTACTTTTTGACCCACCTTGAAAACAGGATGTGCGGCAATTTATTATTTTTCGCAGCTTGCTTGTGTTGGCACGTTCTTTCAAGTTTTAGCGTGCTAATTCGAAAGCAACTTGTAGATTATCTCTTGTATTCTGAGAGAATCTCTCGGTATCCGTGGTTGTTCCCACATGCGGAAGCCCGTGTATCACATCTACCGGTAAACGTGCTTGGCGCCCAAACATCAAGAAATACGGCGTCTCATGTTACGTGGTATTGAAGGCCGTGTTGTACGCCAATTGTACCATGGGTACGATATCCGCTCAGTTATCACAATTTATTGAGCTATGCATTGCTAGCATCGTATGCATCGTGGCATGCACTCTCTCAGACACGGAGTTCCCTTGTGGTCGGTGCGGTGTCGTGCGGGTTTTCTGGTAACCCAGGATTGTTTGAAGCTGGTGAATTATCTTGTTCTCAAATTCGGTGCCTTGATCAGAATGCAGTGTTTCTGGTGGTCCAAAAATACTGATCAATCGATCAATTATCACACGCGCGATCGTTTCAGCGGCCTTATTCGGAATCGGCGTTAGGATAGCATAGCGAGCCAGATGATTCATCATAGATAGTACACTCCTGTTGCTGATTTCGAAATGGGTTGTGCTCTACCAAGTCAACCGATATTCTTTGGAACGGGCGCTCCACGGGAGCGTGACCTGTCGGTAGCTGGGGACGGCGGTGGGTAGTCTTTCTTCGTTGACATGCTTGGCATTGAAGACACCATGTTTTGATGTCTCTTGCCATAGACGGCCACCAGTATTTCTGTCTAATCTTCTCATATGTCGGTTGGTACGCGTAGTGTGCTCCAGATAACGCGTGGTCATGATATGCGTGCATTACCAACCCTGTTAGGTCGCTCGGCAACACCAGCTGATCTTTGAACGTGCTTCTTTTCCGGAGGGAACCGGGTAGATAAGATTATACCGTCTTGTAAGGAATGATATGACCTTGTGGCTGTCGTTTCCTTGTCTGGTAGCGGTGCGTTGTCATCTTGGATGTAACGGATATATTCACCGTACTCTGCTTCTTGCATCTTATGCAACTCCCTATCGCTAGGGACAGGTTGTACGTCGTTGAGTTTGTCGGCGGACACTTGGTATGGTCTATGAGGTGTTGCTGTTTGCAAGTTGGGATCATCTGGTACATTTCGGCAGATTGGCGCAAGACTTGACACGAGTCGGTGTTGTTCGTTCTCGAACGCGAACAGTCGTGACAGCGTGTCCGGTACTACAGTAATTTCCTCGGTTTGTGTTGTACCATGAAGTCAAAGGATTGCATTGCTATAGCCCATCTCGTAAGCATGTTCGAAGTGTCTTGCATGGTGTAGAGATGGTGCTGCATGATCAGGGACGCACGTGAAGTGTCTCTCCCATAAGTACGGGCGCCAATGTTGGATCGCCAGTACCACGGCGTAGCACTCCTTCATGGTTGCAGAGTAATGTCGCTGGCTTTTGTTAAAGCGTTAGCCAAAGTAAGCTATGATATTCAGATCGTTGCTGTTCTTCTGAGCCAGGAATTCTCCGGCTCCTACTTCCCAGGCATCGACATGAAGCACAAACTCTTTAGAAAAGTCCGGGAAATGCAGCACGGGTGCTGTAGTTGAGCGTTGCTTTATTTCCGCAAATGCTGTATCATGTTCCGGACCCCAACGTTTCGCTACTGATTTAACTGCTTCCTTTTTTGTAAGATCAACCAAGGGTGCGGTGTTGGTTGCTAGATCAGGGATGAATTTCCTGACATAGTAGACCATTCCTAGTACTGCTCGCAACTCTTTGATGTTCATCGGTGTCGGTAATTGCAATATTGATTCTATTCTATCTTCACCAAGCCGAATTCCCTCTAACGAGAGAA